TCGATGAATCATTTTATTTTGAACAACTTGAAATAGTGTTATTTATGAACTGTTGCTATGACTCGCTTTCCTGTTACATCTCGTGATTCCGCTTTAGCGGGGTGTGACAGTGGACATGACTGTTTCAAACACATGACATCAAAAGATGGTAGACAGTCGATACAAACTCAGCCAAGCAATAAGATTGATAGCTTTTCCAAACTCTATTACTATTAATTGGAATCCAAGCATTACGATTCCAAACTTTATCTTTTATCAATGTCCATCACTGGTGGAAATCCATTTTTACATGCATATCCTTTGCAATTTGAGACTTTCCTTGATGATGCAGCATAAGGTAGCTGGTTGGCTGCATCAGTTGTTCACATAAGAAACAATACCAATCTCCCATTTGCCAATTTGAATCCAAAAAAACATTAAAATTGTTTTCATTGCATGGACCGTAATATTGTAATTTCCTTCTCCATTCAATTACAGTAAAAAAATCCCTTATGGATGCAGCATAGGAATAGCTGGTGAGCTGCATCAATTGATCACCAAAAACTCTATACCAAATCCCAGATTTCCAAATAAAACAGGAATCCATAATAGAGCTTATGAATCCATTATGGTTTCAAACAGTTAGGTACCAGCAGCCAGCCTTCCCAATCACACAATTATCAACAGACTTCCAAAACAGTAGCTTTCTCCATTTAATTCTGCTATCTTAAACTACTATGATGACAACCAATTTCTTTACAAGAGGCATACTATTTAGATCATCCTTATAACCCCCAAACAGCAAAATAGCACAGTATTTTACAAAAGTCCATGTTGTCAAACCAAAAAAACAAGGATAGAACTAAAGTTTTAATCCATATGAAATGAACCAAACCAAAAGAATAAACCTCAGACTGAGTATGAGACAGGACTTAAGCCAGGTAAATCCAAGTAGTTTAGTAGTCCACCTCAATTTTATCAATACATCTAACAAAGCTAGCTTTACGATTATACAATGTAAGAAAGCGAATTAGAATAGCAATTCCCAAATTTATCATGTTCGCGGTATAAAATTGTACATCACGTTGGGAAACTTTATATCTTGTATATGCTAAATTAATAAATATTTTTGGGCTTCATTCACACTTGTTCTGCAGCTCCAAACACTGAACTCCCAGCAACAATGCAATTTGCACCTATAGCAGCTGTGTTTTAATGGTAGAAGGCCCTAAACCTCCATCTACCTGCGATCCTCCAATCAAACACCCTTTCATAAGTTACCATAAGGATAATCCAGATATGCCTGCATGAGAGGAAGGTATAAGCTACTCCTTCATGAATCAACCACGAAGCTAAGGGTGAAAGTTGGAATAAAAACAAAGGATTTACTTGGTGTGCTTTCTCAAACTCTCATTAGATTTGGGACAAAATGACTGCAGAAAATAAATAACATTTTTAATAGTCATTCAGAAAACTATAAGATGGACGCCAACTAAAACCAACGATCTGCTAGTTACTAATAAATAGCGAAAATATAAGAGCTTTAGCCATGTTTGAAACATACCCATCCTGCAGATCAACTTCATGTATGAGGGGCAAGTAGTATAACCAAAGAAGCAAACTATAAACCAAAGACATGATATAAGAAACTGTCAGAATGGCAAAGACAAGATATAAGCAAACTATAATCCAAACGTTAGCCGCTCTTTAGTATTAGATAAAGACAAACAAATAAACGAAAACTTTTTAAATTGTTAAAGACAATTGTTGAACCATGAGGTCTAATAAAAGTTGTAAGCAACAAATTCAGGGACTGAGATATAAATTTGCATCACGTCAGAACACATACAAACTATCGTGAGGTTAATACACTTTTAAGTTAAACTAAAAGAGGCAAGCTTATCCTTGTGTAGGGAAACTGTTTTATACAAAAACTGGAAGCTTATATATAATGTCCAGAAAAAGATAATGAGATAAACCAACAAAAGTACTTTAATTGGCACACACATGTGGGAAAGAGAAGGAAGTGCTTACTCCTAAGTGCTCCACATTTCCTATATTTTACGTGGTTCTATTCTTTTGCATCTCTTCACCACCATTGTGGCATCCTGAAAATGTAAGCATGCCAGATTCAAAGAATAAGCATCATCCAAACATATTCGATTTAAAACTCCAAAAACAATTACTAAAATCACTGATTGTGCATCTTAATCAAAGTATAAAAAACAAAACTTAAACCTCAATACTCGAACCATCATGTATATGATTCAAGCCTAAACCTTTTTCAAAAAATTATGAGTGATTAAACACCAGATGAAAATAAAGATCTATCCGCTACATGGAAAAAGAAGAAATGCTACCAAGATGGAAAGCTAGAAAAAGATGAATGAAACAGTTTGTAAAAGCTAGATAAAGATGAAGGAACACCTGCACCACCTTTGTAAAATTTACCATCATCCCATTTTTGTCTCCAATAAGTTACGAACAATATGTCTGCATCTCTGTTTTCACGTAACAAACCAATTTAAACAAACTCCACAAAGATCCAAAATTTACCTGAAATTGCCAACCCATCTAATACGTAAACTAATCTACGAAACATAAATATCATTATGCTTATATCCCCTTCTAACAAAAAGTCATATTTACATGAAAACACAAAGAACCCCAAAGTGATCAACAATACAGTTTAAACTAACACCAGAAACCCCCCCCCCCTCCACACACAAAGTTCCAACTTTAATTCTATTTCACCGGTTTTTATAACAAAAGACCAGTTTATGCTAAAAACACAAAGCATAGAAAAGACCCAAAACAGGAGGCATAAAGAGCAACATTAGCAATACCTTAAAACTAAGCACCTCATGTCCAAATATGTAATATCATTTAAAAGTTAGTGTTGCATAAAATCTAAATAAGAAAATAAAGATTAGAATGTATTTGATCATGCCGACTACTCAAAGCCGGCTACTCAAATACAAAGCACCCCCAATGTATATGTAATAGAGAAATCAACTATCGAAGGAATCTACAAAAAATGTATAAGCATACAAAAACAGATTGGAGATAGGAGCAAGGGAAAATGGACAATCAACTTCCGTCAAAGAAATAAAACTCTACTTAATACTTGCTGATATTGACATTATGTTAATCAACATCAACAACAACGCATTAAGAAACCGAAAGGACCAAATAGWATCAAATCTCTTAGGAAGTGCACTTTTAGATTAGAATAAAGGRATCTCTAATGGAAGAATCACGATAAGCATGAAGAATATTACCTTATTAAACACAAAAATATTTGTTGGCGATTTTCTTTTGCTAAACAGTCCTGAAAGACAACTTTTGAATTGCTCAAGAATCAAAAGGATTGAACCAAATGGACCTCTACTTACTACTTGCTGATATTGACATTATGTTAAGCTGCATCAACAAGAAAAATCAAATGTTAATCGGCATCAACAACAATGAATTAAGCATAACATGAACAGAATTATCAAAGAAATCAATGAAATCGAAAGGATCAAACCAAATGGACACACAACTTCCGTCAAAAGAAATCAGACAGAAAGGATCGAAAAAACCCTAAATCGATGGAGTACCTTTACAGACAACTTTTATCAAAGAAACCCTAAATCGATGGAGCGAGAGGGCGCCTGAATAGCAAGATGAATCGTATGAGGAACCGAAGGAGCAATAACATAACATCTATGCTGTTATATCGGTCAGAATACGAAATATCGGTCAGGACCGATATTCGATATATTGGTTATATGGGTGATATATCGATGATATATCGGAAATAGCGGTTAACATAATATTTCTTAGAATTATATATATAATATGCATTAATTAGAGTTTAGAAGTCTGAAGACTGAAGTTGAAGTCGAAGTGTGAAGAAAAGTCGAGACTGAAGACTGAAGACTGAAGAAGTCGAGACTGAAGACTGAAGACTGAAGAAGTCGAGACTGAAGTGTGAAGAAGAAGTCGAGACTGAAGTGTGAAGAAGAAGTCGAGACTTAAAGTCGAAGTCGAAGTCTGAAGACTGAAGAAGTCGAAGTCTGAAGACTGAAGTTGAAGTCGAAGTCGAAGTGTGATTTGTGAAGAAAAAGTCGAGACTGAAGTTGAACGTGAAGAAGTCGAGACTGAAGTTGAACGTGAAGAAGTCGAGACTGAAGTTGAACGTGAAGAAGAAGAAGACGTTGTGGAAAGATTCAGACCTAATTTATCAGCCCAAAAAATTAGGCCCATGGAATAAGAAATTTAAATTATCAGCCCAAAAAATTAGGCCCATGAAATAACAAAATAAGTTATCAGCCCAAATTTTTAAACCTTATAAAATCGGTATATCGGCCCGATTTTTACCTCAAAATATCGCTAAAAATCGCTAAATATCGGAAAATATCGCCGATAATATCGTTCCCGATATTTGAGTTCCGATTTTTTTTGGGAGCGATATCCGATATATCGCCAATATATCGCGATTTTAACAGCATAGCATAACATAAATAAAACCTGCATCTCGAGAGAGGGAGGGGGCCTGGATAGTCGTCTTGGAGAAAAAGAATCGTCGCCTGAATAGTAGTCTTCGAGAAAAGGAATCGTCGCCTGGGGGCTGTGAAATTGAGTTGTACGGTATGATAACTGATAACGATGGGTGGCGAAATGAGGAGTGATACCTTATGCTGTTAAAGTTGTAAACTTTTAAGACTTTATGCATAAATAAGTAGTACTTTGTGCAATTAAGACATTTAGTAAATTTGCTTAATAAAGTAGTATAGATAACATAATCTCACATAAACTCAACCCTAATACTTTATTTGACAAATATTATATATAACGACATATAGACACAAAAAATGACAGCAAAAAAAAGGAAAATATGAAATAGGATTTTCATTTGGAGTTTTTAGTTTCAAAATCCATGTGTATATACCTAGTCTTATACAGTGCTCAACATTTTCACCAAGTCACGGCCTCTGTCCGAATACCACATACCGCCCCCGGCTCCAGAGTTCCGGTCGCTACTCAGACCCCACGCCCCTGCTGCTCAGTGCTCATCCGGTAGGGTTTACTGATTTGTCGTACTAGCTCTGTTTTAGGGTTTACTGATTTGTCGTACTATCTCTAACATGTGTTAGGGTTTACTGATTTGTCGTACTATATCTCTGTTTTAGGGTTTAGTGACGGTTATTATTTTTTGGTTCAACCTATATGATCTGGTCGTCATTCGGATTCTTGTTTTTTTTGTGTGCTTACAAACTGTAATACAATTTCAATTTCAATTTCAATTGCATTGGTTGGAAGTTTTAACCACATATTTTATTAATTAAAAAACATATACATGGTCAGAATGCCACATTTCAACTCTTCATTTCTTCCTATGACATTGGTACATTTATTGGTGAAGAATCAGTCTCACGTGCAGATATGGCAGAATGCTGTCTCTAAAATGTGCAGCAAGTGTTAGCGTCCTTATACAATACCAATTCTTAATATGAAAATAGTTCAAAGGCACTCTACCCCAAATGTGTTTGTGAAGTAGGTCATGGAATGTGGCATGAGATTGGAATTTAGCCAAGATTTCTATATCACTTTGCTTCACTTTCAATTCCATTACAGTTGGAGTGCCAAGATGTATGTTGTGTTTTAGTCATCATGGTGTTGGAAACAATCATTTGGTTTAGGACAAAATCCTTCATGTTATTTTCTGAATGTGCACCTCTTTTAGGCCAATGTCAAGTTTCTTTATGAGTAATCATGATTTATTGGTATCTTTAAAGGAAGTATTTAATCTTACAAAGGATGATGAAATTAGCTCATTTTGATTATGTTCTGGATGTGATTCATGAAACACTGATTTACGATGTTTTACTAGAACAAATCAATGTAATAGACATTTATATATGTGTCTTCTGGTTTATTTTGAATATCAGATATCGTTACAATATCATATCTGTTTGCTCAAAAGATTATTTCATAAACAACCTTACACACATGTATGCATAGTCTTATCTAATTTTTGATCTTTTAGTGGCATATCTCATCATGCTTAATCTGTTGCATTGCTACAGCAGGCAGGCCCCTTTAAGGGCAAGTAAAGTTATTTAGCTCTGTCGTGCCCCTGACTCTTGGCTGATGGCGAATCCCTGACTGACAGCCCTCCTTCAACGACAATTTCAGGTATATTTTATATTTTCAAATCTGTTATTATTTGTTAATAATTAGTTATTTATTTCTTTATTGTTAATTGTTATTTCTTTATTATTAATTGTCTAGGGTTTGTTAATAGCAAAAGTGTTCATTAAAGTTGGGTTTGCTGAAAATCAATTTGTTTATCGTTGATTATTAATTGTTAGTGTTTGTTAATTCGAAAATGTTAATTTAAGGTTTGTCAATTGGGAAAATGTAAATTGTCAGTAATTACTTTCTGATTGATGTCTTATTTCACTAGAATAATGAAAAGATTTCTGAAAAGGAAAGTATCAACATCCGAACCCGATGGTGGTGGTATTGGTGGAGAATCTTCAAATGGAAATGTCTCTCATAATAATCCTGAACCTAGCTCTACTCCTTCCATGGCTAGGGAAGTTGATATGAATGATCTTTCTTGGGATATTGTTCCAACTATTCAGAAAGATATTGTTCATTGCTTTGCACAAGAAGTACTCAAAGCCATTTCTGAAGAAATTAGTGATGATGTTTTTGCATTGTTAGTTGATGGGTCTAATGCCATACCTAAGAGGAAACAAATGGTTGTGGTTTTGCGATATGTTACATGCGGGATTGTTAAAGAAAGATTTATTGGTTTTGTTCATGTGATGGAGACAGATGCTTTATCTCTTAAATCTGCCATTGAATCTTTATTTGTTGAATATGGATTGAGTTTGAAAAAGGTTAGAGGCCAAAGTTACAATGGAGCAAGCAATATGCATGTTGGGTTCAATGGTATGAAAACTTTAGTCAAGAGAGAAAACAACTTAGCATATTACGTTCATTGTTTTGCTCACCGACTTCAGTCTGTTGTTGTGACAGTTGCAAAAGAACACCTTGAAGTTGGAAAGTTCTTTGACATGATAGATGTTATGATCAATGCGGTTTGTGCTTCTTGCAAACCAAAAGATATGATTCGAGAAAGTCAAAGAGAAAAAGTGCAAGAAGCGATCGGTAATGGTGAAATTGAAACTGAAAGTGGGTTAAAACAAGAGATTTCTCATGTAAAACCTGAAGATATACGTTGGGGGTCTTATTACAAAACACTTTTGTATTTGGTTGATCTGTTTCCGTCTGTCGTTGAGGTGCTTGCATATGTAGAAGAGGTAGGTGTTAATCCTTTCAGTCAACGTAAAGCATATGATCTTCAAGTATATTTCCAATCATTTGATTTTGTGTTTTACTTGCACTTGATGTTGCACATTTTGGGGGTCACAGATTTATTATCACAAGCTCTTCAAAGAAGAGATGAAGATATCTTGAATGCTATTTCATTGGTGAAATCAACCAAACAGTTATTGCAAAAGTTCAAAGTTGATGGGTTTCATTCACTTCTGAAGATGACCTCTTCTTTTAGTGAAAAACATGATATAGAAATGTTGAACTTGGATGATGAATATGTTAATCCAAAAATACCAAGACAAAAGACCAATATCACCTATAGGCATTATTACGAGTTCCATTGTTTTAACACAATTGTGGATATGCAAATTGAAGAGTTCGATGATAGATTTAGTGGGGTAAGTTCTGAATTGCTTATTTGTATGGCGGCTTTGAATCCACGTGACTCATTTTGTGACTTCAATCCATCAAAGCTACTAAGGCTGACTGAGTTGTATCCAGATGATTTTAGTTGTGTGGAAAAGGTAACTCTTGAGCCTGAACTTTACCTCTACATTGACAGCGTGCAACAAGATGAAAGATTTGCCAATTTGAAAGGTATATCTGATCTTGCTAGAGTGATGGTGGAAACAAGACTACATCTTACGTTTCCTTTGGTTTATCGATTATTGAAGTTAGCATTAGTTTTACCGGTTGCAACCGCAACAGTTGAGAGTTGTTTTTCTGCAATAGAGCTTGTAAAGTCAGATTTGCGTGATCGAATTTGTGATGATTTTTATGATTCTTGTGTAAGTTCTGCTGTAGAAGAAAAAGGAGTTGCCAATGTTACAAACGAAGATGTGATGAATCACATTGAGAAGATGAAAGCTCGTATGAACGATCTGAGAATGTAATTTGCTTCTTATTTTTAATGATATTGTACCTTGGTTTTAAACATCAATTTTTTATAATTATGTTAGTTAAATGTGTCCCATGGTCATTCAAGGTTCTTGATCTGTCACTGATTGCTGCTACTCCTACTCTGCATTTAGTTTGGTTGTTTATGCGCATATGTATTGAGGCCTCATGGTTGCAACGACCAACTGTTGCCGTTGTTATAAGTAAGTTATTGAAGTTTTCTGGATCAAAAACAACAGTTGATGCATACTAAAATGAAGCTCGACAATAGTTGGGTGGATTTTGGTATAATTTGGTATAAAGTCGAAAGATCTCTGGTGCTACTATAATTTGTTGGATCTAACCAAAATTGGTGGAGTATGTGACCACCAATTTCGCTGCAATCATGACATAGGTTGCAGGTTTAAGTTTCCATAGGATTACTGGGGATTCTTCTAACTATAATCTTCAAGGTATCGTGGGATTAGTTAATGTTGGGTTTTAATTTTCTGTATTGTATTCAAGCTTATTTCCTAGTAATTCTAGTTTGCTTGTAACTTTGGTAGTAACTTTGGTATGTGCATTGTAATCTTTCGTAACTCTTGAAGCATTTGTAACTTTGAAGATCAATACACTTTAATCTTTGAAGAAAATTCTCTCTACTCTCTAATCCTGCCATTATTAATCTATGTGAACTTCTTGATTGTGATTGAATGATTGTAAAGTGGGAACATCAATTGGTATAAGAGCTAGTTACAGTAACCAGAAAGATCAAATTTGAAACAGATTTGTTTGAATATTTGATTGAATTTGAAGTTTCTTGAACTGTTCTTGTTGAACACATTTCAATCCATATTTCTTGAATTCAAAATCGATTTCTCTTTGAGTTTTGATTCACATTTTGATAGGGAATTGATCTAAAACCATTTGTGACTGTTTTGTATTGTTCAATTCATTATTTAGATGAATTCAGTAACCAATTTTGAGTTTTGGTGATCGACTGATTTATGAAGTTTTGATCAATTTTGATCAAATTGACCATTTTGATCTCTTTTTAGCAAGTTTTTGTTTACAAAACTTGTTTGTAATTTGTTTGAATCAATTTGGTTGAGTTTTGTGAAATTTTGATTGAATCTGTTCAACAATCTGTCAGATTTGCAGATATCGCTTGTTGAAGATCTGTATTGGCCGATTTCCTTCAAGAACATCGCTCATTGAAGTTCTTGATAGGCTTGTCCAATTTGGTTTGGTATATCGCTTGTGGAAAGAACTTGGTGAAAGATATTCGTGCATATCACTTGTTTGTTGAGCGATTTCTGTTAATATCGCTCATGTGTTAAGTGTATTGGCTATATCGTGCAATAGTTAATCGATTTTCTAAGTATATCGTGCAAGTGTTACCCGATTTCCGAGTATATCGCTCAAGCTTTAAGCAATATTTGTCCAAGTGATTTTCTACTTTGGGCGGTATTCGTGGTCAGCGGTATTCTTCTAAGTGTTGGTCGATATTTGATTGGGTGATATTTGTATTGGGCGATATTCTTGTTGTCCGATATCCTTGTTTGGTGATATTCAACAAGAGTTAAGCGATTTTCTTCCAAGGTTGGGAGATATTCTGATTTTTCTGTGTTGTAAATTGTAAGAAGATCAAGGCAATCATTCAGTGATAATGACGTCAAGAGAGGCAATGTCAATAGGCCCTGACACAAAACCACCAGTTTTGTTCAGAGGAGACTATTCGTAGTGGAAAGATAGATTTCTAGGTTTTATCGCAAGACATGAGTATAGTGATGAAATCATGGAATCTTTGACTGAAGGTCCAGTGACTTTTTGGCTAGAAGTGCTAGCTGTACCTGAAAGAAATACACCTGCTTCATTGAGACCCAAAGAAAAGTCTAAGTATAATGACAATGAGAAGAGAAGAGCAAGAGGTAATATTCTGTGTAAATCATTCATGATGCAAGCTTTGATTAATGAAATTTACACAAGTATTGATAGCTACAAAGAATTAGGTAAGAATATGTGGGATCAAATTGAGAAGATCATGATGGGTTCTAAGGTGGGAACTCAATTGAAGATAACAAACTGCATTACAAATTATGAAGATTACAAAGCCAAGGAAGGAGAGAGTTTGGATGATATATATGAAAGGTTTATTAGACTGCTGAATGAACTAACAAAGAATGTTATCGGTAAGACAAAGATTGAGATTAATGTGAAATTTCTGAGCAACCTTCAGCCGGAGTGGAAGTCTTTTGCTAATCACATTAAGCACAACAAATCCTTGACATGAATTGATATTCATGAAGTCTATGAAACCTTGAAGCCAGAGAAGGTAACTGCCAATCCTATAGCATTAGTGTTGGACCCCATAATTCTTATTGTAAAAGTAATGAAAAATGTACAAGTATGGAAGTCCAGAGGACTGATGGAAGAAGAGTTGGAAAAGACCTAAGTGCTGGTCCATAGGTGCGATGAACAATGCATCTCCATCACCCCTCTGGTAATTAGCACTTAGCAGATTCAACAAGAGTTCAATCAGAGATATCCAAGTAAAGCAGAAACGTAAAGACTCCTGGTTGAACATACTACCTAGAAGACAGTTGGAGATGACTCATCGACAGCTGGAATTCAGTTACGCAAGGTAGTTAGAAATAACTCCTAAATTCTAGATAGATATCGTTTCCTAGAATATCTCATAGATATCTTTTCACTAGATTGTTATCTCTTAGACTAGATTGCTAGTATAAATAGCTATCATATGTCTTGTAAATTGTTTATTCTTTCTCATTAAAGTTATTATAGTGACATCATTTGAAGCTTCATATTCTCCTGAATATTTTATAAGTTGTTCTTCACTGTTCTTCATTAATACGATAGATTTAGGTTTCATAACATAAACTTCGTGTTATATTGAGAGATCTGGGATCAACAATTGGTATCAGAGCCAATTGATTGATTTTTCAATCAAAACGATCAATTTGAATCTGAGTATTCAAATCTCTCAATTTTTCTCCATTCTTAAATTTTCTTCTTCTCTTTTAAATCTCTTCAATAGCCAACTGAAATTCTACATACAGTGTTGGTTCCCTCATCAAACCTCCAACTCTTCAACGTGAAGAGTATTCGCAATGGAGGATACGCATGGTGAATTTTTCTAGATGAGATGGACAGAAATCTCCTCAGATCAGTGATGGAAGACCCTTATATTTCTCAAACTCTTGTTCCAAGAGTTCTTGGAACAAGCACTACCACGGAAGTTGCCGCTTATTATATAGTGAAGGATGAGAGCAACTGGGATGAAGACGACATAGAGAGGGTAGAGGCAGACAGGAAGGCCAAGAGGCTGATAATAATGGTTATTCCCAATGAAATTTTCCAATCTCTGGATGCATGTACCACGGCTAAGGAGATATGGGATGAATTGACAAGCCAACTGGAGGGAGGCGCTAAAAGGAAGAAAAATCGAAGGGCGCAATGCTTGAACGAATATATGAACTTTAAAGCATTGCCTGATGAATCGATACAGAAGACGTATGATTGTTTCAATACCTTGATAAATGAATGCTGTAGAAACAACATTGCAAGGACCAAAGAGGAAAATAATGTTCTTTTCCTCAAAAGTCYCGGTGATGAGTGGACTCAACTGTCGATGTCTTTACAAGCAAATCAAGACTTAGACAGTTGGTCACTTGATGACGTATATGGAACACTTGCTGCCCAAGAGCAAGATATCTTGAAGAGGAAGGTGTCCATCGGTGGACCTCTTGCCTTGGTATCAGAAGAAAAAGAGGTTACAAGGAGCTTTTCTAAAAAACACAAGAAGAAGAGCAAGAAGGCCTTGATAGTTGAATCGGAATCTGAAGAAGAAGTATCAGAATCTAATGATGATCTCATGGCATTTGCCAAATCCCTTGCCTTAATAACCAAACAGTTCCAGAAAAAGTTTGTCAACAAGCCCTTTGAAAAGGACAACAGAAGAGACTCTAGAAGGGAGAGATATCAGCCATCCTATGGACAAAAAACAGTTAGATTTCATCAGAGAGATGAAAGAAGAGAAGAGAGGAGAGAAGACAGAAGAGAAGGAGGAGACGAAAGGAAAGATGGTCTTCGTTGCTACCCTTGCGAGAAGATAGGTCATTTTTCGAAAGAATGCAAAAGACGTATGATCAAGGATACAGACTATTACAAGAATAAATACAAGTACAAAAATACAAGTACAATCCGAGAGAAAGAAGCCTGATGGCTGAGAAAGAAAATTGGGTGTCCGATTCTTCGTCTGATGAAGAAGACAAGACACTCATATGTCTGATGGCCAAGTCCAATGCAGAATCCACTTCTGACTCTGATGACTAGGTATATGATTCTTCCCACGATGAAACCAACTCTACTCCATCTGAGTTAGAGTTAAAGGTCATAAGACTTTCAGAAGACTTTTTTAAATTAAAAGAAAAATTAAAATTTGAAAAATCTAAAAGGTTAAAAGTTGAAAAAGAAGTTAGTTTCTACAAAAGAGAGACTAATTTTTTTTACTGAAGAAAAAACTGAATTAGTAAAAGATAAAACCCGCATTGCATCTCTTAAAAAATCAGAAGAAGAGAAACTGATGGATCTGAACAAGAAGATCTTCTAAAGATTTAGAGAAGAAGGTGAAAGCCTTGAAAGAATTCGTCACAGAAAGACTAAACTTAGTAGCTCTTAAAGATTTCTTTCAAAAAGAAAGGGAGATTCTTCATCAGAAGCTTCAAACCAATGAACTTTTGATGAAGAAATATAAAGATGCCCAAAACGTCTATCAAAAACTTAATGGCCAAACCGATTCCCAAGGAATCAGATTCAATGATCTTGACTCTTTCATCGAGAACAAGAAAAATCCACCCTTGAATCCGCTTTTAAACTTGGTTGTGTTAAAAAACCCGACTTTTCTCCAAAACCCAAAGCAACTTTCAAAAGAGTAAAAGTCGATGGAATTTTTTTTCTCGATGCAAGATTTTGAAAATGTGGTTTATGAGTATAGCACTAGTAAGAAATCTGATGAAAAGGATGATGCCTCAAAACCAGATACCGATGGAAACCCCATGGTTAAACCAGAGCCTCTGGTT